TGCAAAACGCAACCAGATAATCTCTTGGTCTATAGCTGAGCGAAGGAGCTCCTATAATCTTAAAATTTTCAACAGCATCGGAGTTCATTCAATCTTCTCTATTTATCTATTAAAATTTCAAGTAACTTGAATTTATAAATAAAATTATTATTATTTTTGGATGAAAAGCAAAAGGTAGGGGAAAAAAAGGGGTTCATTTGCGTTCTTTTTATAATTACAATGTATCAATTAAAAAAAATTAAAGATTCCAAAAGAAGAGACACATCATATATGCCTAACGATTTGGCAACATTAAGAAAACAAAAACTACAAGCCTAAAAACAATTTGATATATATTGATATACTTAAAAGAGTCTAGAGAATATTATGTTATATTTGTTAAATAACCCACACGACGTCAATAAATAGCCACTTTAGAAAATGAAGGAAAGGGACCGGAAATTGTTCAAGGTTGGAAGGTAACGCTGTTATCAAAATAAGTGAAAAGCGATATTAAAGCAATCCCAACTTAATGTGAAGAACTTGATTAGTTGACGACTCAATTTTGGTGGGGTCAAAAATATTTATTCATTCAAAAATTCATTGATTAAAATGGGACAAGTTAACCTCACCTAAGAAGGTGTGGGGCTTTGGATTTCAAGGATTTGAAAGACTTTCACCCTTGTCATAGCTTGTCAAAGAAGGATGAGACATCCAACAACCCCACTCTTTAGTATCTCCACCATTCGAAAATCCAAAGTATTTCCTAAATTATGGTTACTTGTCTTTGACATTAATATTTTTTAATGAGTCAGGAGAAGTTTCTTGATAGGGCAATATCATACGGAAAGGTATCCTTAAATATATAGGCAGGGAAGTGGATAATCCATTCAGATTTGATAAAGACCAATGGACCCCACATCCTTGACATTTTATGGTGGTCACAATAACTGCCTATTTTGATATTACATGAGATGTTATATTTATAATATATTTTTGTTTATATTGTTTTATAATCAAATTTTAAGTTAATTTTCATCAATTTAACCGTTATAATTCAGAGAAAGGATTAGTTTATAATTTATTTTTACAAATTACACTAAGTATGACCGGCTATACACTCTTGATTGAAATATGACCGGTCATACTTAGTGTAGTTTGTAAGAATTTGTAAACAAAAAATTTGTAAATATAACATTTCCTTATAATTTATTGGGTCATACTTATTAATTAATTATTAATTTTTAACAAATTATAATATTCCGATTGACAGAAATTAAACAGTTAAGATTTGATTATAAAATATTGTAAGCGAAAGAGGTTGCAAATATAACCTTCCTCTTATAGATGTTATGCTTATATACAAGGGAAAATTTACATTTATAAATTTTTTGTTTACAAACCACAATATGTTTGACCGGTAATACACTATTGAGCGAAGTATTACCGGTAATACTTATATGTTTACAAATATAACCTTCCTCTAGCTTGTCCATAAGGGAGTTGAAAGTGTATGTTGAAAATCAACACACAAATTGCACAAATCGAGAAAACAGAAAAGAGAAAGGGAAGACAAATTCGCATAGAGGTTTACCCTGGTTCATCTAATACAGGTTACATCCAGCTTGTCTGTACTATATTCACCTCACCTTCACTCGTTACAAGTCACTCGGTTTATAAGGGAATACAAATAGGATCTAGAAAATCCTAACCACGTTATTCATGAGCTAAATCCCAAACTACTAAGAAAAAAAATTAGAATAAGTCAAAGGCCCATAACAGTACCAGATCCCACTTGGATTTCTGGATTTGGATTTCTTTTTCCTTTCTTTCATAATTAAAAAGTGACAAAAAAAAATTAAAAACATCGGACAGATCCAAGATTTTCTTTGAGGGTGATGTGAGCCACATAACAAGGGGAAAAAATATGCCAGATTGCCTCGTAGATTGAAGAGAAGTGGAGAATCATTGGCCCAACATTATAAACGACTAAAGCAATAATAATCGTAGTTAGAAAATAATGGGTTTCTGCCGAACCAGTAGAAATCAGCCACAGACCCATTAAATTTTAGAGCCAACTATAATCAACATAATCCAATTTCGTACTCATTAATTTCTACGGCGTTGAACAGATTAAAAATCTATAAGGTGGGGTATAAAATGCAAAACAAATCAGTAAAAATAAAGTTTAGTCCTTCCAAAACTTCCAATCCCATGCAGCCAGCACAAGCATTGCATTCAAGAAAAACTTAAAACAAAGCTTATATATATATGAACACGAGAAGAAGAACAAAACTTTGACTCATTACATATAGTAAAGAATATATATAACAAGGATTTGATTGCAATTGAGCTACTATTTCATTTCTTTACAAAATCTTCTCTGACCAAATTTCTATCCTAGTATATACATATACAAAGAAAGATTCACACAGAGCATGGAAGAAACTATCATTTACGGTAACTCATTTTTGTTTTCTTTCCCTTCAAGATTCACCTCATTCTTGCCAACAAACGAGCATTATGATGCACCTCCGGAGGATATAGAACCTTGCCCTTTGCTCCTTACCAAGCCTATTGCATCTCCTTCCGAATGATCTAAAGGGTCCACAAACGTGCCTCTTGCACAAGCTGATTTCTCCTTGTGAAGTTGACATAGCAGCTGCAACAAATGCTGTGTTATGTAAAAGATTGTTTAATAAAAAAAGAAAGAAAGGAAGATTGTGTTTAAGGTGGTGTGGTGTGGTGTGGAGAGGTGAAGTTTCAAACTAGTTTGGTAGTGATTGTGAGGGTTATATATGAGGCTTAACACGTGTGGTGCATGAGGGACCTTGCACTGATTGAGCTTATCTATCAAAGTTTGATGATGACGGTTATCACATGTGACTTCGATATTACGTATAATGCCATGGCCCATTGATTAATAAATCAGTTGTTTATTCGTATGAATTGATATTATTAGACATTGAATTGGCACCGTAGTTATTATACTATCTCTATCTTATCTTCAGGAAGTATTATTGATGCATAGGTTGTCAAACTATTTAATTTTGCTGTCGTATTTTTTTAATCATTTTGATAATTTTTAACCAATCCAGACGAGGAGCAGTAGCCAGCAGCCACTCCCAAACCAGAATCAACCGTTGGATCCAGTCATTGAGGAGATAAATCAGCCTCACAACCAGATCGGAAACAATGTGGATTACGACCACGTCCAGGTCGAAGACGATGTTTCAGACACCGCTTCAACGCCAGTGCGTCGAAATTGGGGGGGGGGGGGGGGGGCTGCGGCGAACGTAGCTCCAATAAGAAGCAACCCTGCCTAGCATCCTGGCGACCTGGCTGCGCGCATTGCTCAATCGGCTGATCCGGATACTCGGTTGGCCAACAACGCGTTAGCCGCAATCATGGAGCGAATAGCAGCGCTGGAAACCCGTACTAACTTGCAACGGCAACAAGATTTCAGGGCTATTCGGGAGGAAAATAATAGAGGGATGCAAGACCTGGAGCGACGATTAACACGGCAGACTATGCCAGGAATAGCCAATGTTGAAGGCCAACCTGCCAATGGTCGAGAAGGACCTAGGAACTCAGTTCAGTCATACCAAGTTCCTCATGCAGAAAACCCTGATAACCTGGTGAACCAGGGATACCAGGTCGCTGATGGCCAAAATGCACAAAACCATCAGGCATATGCCGACGGTCAGGAGGACCGGGTTAGAGCTCAGTATCAACAGGATCCTCAAAACATCCGAGGGCGAGTAGAACCTGGCGGATATAGGAGGAAGTACAGCAGGGGGCAGTACAATAATAGCCCATTCACTACTGAAATATTAAACGCTGTCTTCCCAGAGGACTTTGACTCGGCACGCTTGCCGAAATATGATGGAAGCCAGGATCCGCAAGTGCACATAGATGCCTTTGACACAGACATGTACATTCGGGGAATTGATGAACCTCTCATATCCCGAATATTTGCTATAAGACTAACTGGGGCAGCACATGCGTGGTTCTCAACCCTGCCTGCTAATTCCATCGGATCCTTTGAGGAATTCGGACAGAAGTTCCTATTGAACTTTGCAACCAACAAGAAGCATCCAAAGTCCGAGTTCGTTCTTGGAAAGATACGACAGCAACCTGGAGAAACCCTCCAAAAATACCTTAACCGGTTCAAGGATGCTGCATTTCAGGTCCCAGTGTTGCAAGAGAATGTCCACGTCCACCTCATTGTGGCAGGTCTGGATGGTGGATCCAGACTCGCCAAGTCGGTCTATAAGGACCCAGTAAGGACGTTGGAGGAATTTAGAACTCGTTCGAAGAAATATCTCGAACTAGAGCAAATGGAGATTGCAAATGCGCAATCTGATGAAGACAAAAGAGCAAGCCCCAGAAGGAGGAGCCCACCCCCGAAGGGAAAGGAACGAGTTGACAACAAGAAGAAAGATCAACGCCAACGAATCTCGGACATGAGGGACCACATTGGGAGGTATGACAAGTATACACCTTTGAATGCGTCGCCTTCTCAAATCTGGAGAGAAGTAGCCACGGCGGAGATGAAAAAGGCGGAGAGACCTCGTCTCATATTTGACAGAGGAGGATTAGATAAGTCCAAATATTGCACCTTTCATGATGGTCCAGGTCACACAACTGATCAGTGCTGGGATCTCCGAGATGCGGTGGAGAAGTTTGTAAGAGATGGTAGATTACGTCAATACGTAATAAAAACCCAAGGTTCCAGAAAGAACAAAAGGAAGTTGGGAAATAGGAATCGAAGCAAAAGTCCCATTCCTGAAAAGAAGAACAAACAGGATAAGAATCAGAAAAATGATTCCAACTATGACGAATTCCCAGAAGTGGAGTTTGATTGAAATGTAATTAGTGGAGCCTTGGGGGGAGGAGGAGATATTGTAAGTTCTAGAAGAAAATACCTGAAAGAGGTACTCTCTATTCGAGATCGTCCCAAGTTCAAAGAAGACCCAACCAAGCCAGATCCACCTCTTTTATACTTTACCAAAGAGGACATGCGCGGGGTGTTGCCGGGTCATGTTGACGAACTGGTCATTGCGGGGACCCTAGTGAATTGCTGGGTCAAGAAGATTTTCGTGGATGCAGGGAGTTGTGCCGACATCATACTCTATGATGCTTTTAAAAAGATGAACCTGGATGAAGAGGACCTCAAACCTTGCAAAACGATGCTGGTAGCCTTTAATGGAGAGCATACGCCTCCTAAAGGCTACATTGATCTCAGGTTAACCCTGGGAGCAAAAGAAGCGTTCAGATCAGAACGAGTTAGGTTCATAGTGGCCAACTTCCCTTCAGAATATAATATAATTCTGGGAAGACCAACCATACATCAGTGGGACATGTTGGTTTCAAAAAAACACCAGAAATTAAAAATGGTGAGTAATAAGAATGAAATAATCACTGTTTGTGGAGATCAGAAGGAATCCAGGGGCTGCTACTTTGATACTATCAAAGAAAATGAAGGGGGACGTTAGAGCCCACCCCGAATTCACTCGGGGGATAAAACCGGTAGGAATCTAATTCCTCAGCAATCTAAGAAGCCGATCAACATGGTTGAACTCGACATGAGAGAAGAAATAATGTCGAGACCTGAACCTGATGGAGAGCTTGAGGATCTCACGCTGGGGGAAGAGCCTGGTCAGTTTACCCGCATTGGTAAGGCCATAGACCCCCAGATTAAGCAAATTTTGGCTGACTTTCTTAAAAGCAACGATGTATTTGCATGGAAGTCGTCAGAGATCCCTGGCATCGACCCCGCATTCTGTTGTCACAAATTGGCAGCTTATCCGGGGTCCAAGCCAGTTTCTCAGAAGAAAAGAAAACTGGGACCTGAAAGGAAACAAATTCTACAAGAACACGTTAAAGAACTCTTAGATGCTGGGTTCATTCGAGAGATACAGTACATGACATGGCTAGCCAATGTGGTGATGGTGAAAAAACCAAATGGGAAATGGAGAATCTGTACTGATTACACAGATTTAAACAAAGTTTGCCCAAATGATGTTTATCCTATGCCTAACATAGATCAGCTGGTAGATAACTCGGCTGGATTTCGTCTGCTGTCTTTCATGGATGCCTATTCGGGATACAACCAGATCCCAATGTACCCAGCGGATCAAGAAAAAATGGCCTTTATTGCTGAAAAGGCCAACTATTGTTACAATGTGATGCCATTTGGACTTAAAAACTCAGGGGCAACTTACCATAGGATGATGAATAAGGTCTTCGAAGATCAGCTGGGCAAAAATGTAGAAGTGTACATAGATGATATGATTGTGAAGTCATTTGATATGATGAATCATGTTCAGGATCTTGAGCAAACGTTTCAAAAGCTCAGGAAGTATCGCATCCGCCTCAACCCGGTAAAGTGCGCGTTCGGGGTAGCAGCTGGAAAATTTTTGGGTTTCATGCTAACCCATAGAGGAATTGAGGCAAACCCGGATAAATGCAAGGCAGTGCTTGACATGAAAGCACCCCAAAGCAAAAAGGAGGTCCAACAGCTGACCGGACGATTAGCTGCGCTAACCCGGTTTCTTCCAAAATCGGCTGAAAATGCCCTCCCATTCTTTAAACTTTTAAAGAAAGAAGCAACTGATGGATGGAACCCGGCATGTGAAGCCGCGTTTGAAAAGATAAAGAAATGTTTATCAACTCCACCGATCCTCTCAAAGCCAAACACATGAGATGTTTTAATTCTGTATTTGGCAGTAGGGGAGGAAGCAATAAGCGTTGTACTGATCAAGGAAACTAACGAAGGCCAGGAGCCAATTTACTTTGTCAGTAGAGCCTTACAAGGTGCAGAGGTCAGGTATCAAAAGCTAGAGAATGTGGCTTTTTCTTTACTGGTCACGGCTAGAAGGTTGCAGCCGTATTTCCAAGGCCACCAAATCATCGTCAGGACTAACCAGCCTATTCGACAGGTGTTGCACAAACCAGACCTGGCAAGAAGAATGACTAACTGGGAAATAGAACTCAGTGAATATGACATAACGTATGAAAGCCGGAAAGCAATCAAAGCACAAGCCTTAGCTGACTTCATAATGGAATTGACACCATAGAACTCGGAACACGAGGAACACGGGGATGCATGGAAGGTATACGTAGATGGATCTTCCAACAATAGAGGAAGTGGGGCTGGAATCATATTAGAAAGCCCAGAAGGAGTAATCATAGAGCATTCTCTGAACTTGGGATTCCCAACTTCCAATAATCAAGCTGAATACGAAGCTCTAATAGCTGGTTTGATCCAGGCTAAAGAACACGGAGCTAGGAAAGTGCAAATGTTCAGCGACTCACAGCTGGTAACCTCGCAGATAGAAGGAAAGTACCAAACCAAAGGTCCTCTACTGATGAAGTACCTGAGTCGAGTTCAGGAAATTATGGCCGATTTTGATGAGATTCGGGTTTCTCACATCCCGCGAGAGGAGAATAGCCGAGCTGACATCTTGTCGAAGTTAGCCAGTACCAAAAATTCGGGTAATCACAGAACTGTGGTTCAACAAAGTATAACAACGCCGAGTTGCGTGATGGTAGTTGTAAGAACCCGCACCGTTAATTAAGGAATTTAATTAATAAATTATGAGAAAATAGGAAATGACTCCATAATTGACTCTAATAATTATTATGAGGCTTTAATAATTATAGTAAGTGATTAAGAATGCTGAAAGTCGCTTTTCAGAAGAAAAGTGCAGATACCGGTTCTGCTAGTCGGTATAATTGCGTATCGAAAAAGTATCCCGGAAAATTATAATAAGTGCATGACAATTACCAGAATGATATGTAGGACTTGTAAAACGAGTTTCAAGTCCAAATATTGAGAACTGGTGCTAGAAACCGGTACTGGCTTTGAAAAATGCGGACCGGAAAGGTGCTCAGAAAATTATAAGAAAAATATGATAATTCTTGAAAAAATGTGTAGTTTCAGATTCCAAAGTTTGGGATCAAAATGCTAAGTGTAGCAATTAAAGTTAATACTGTGTGTTTAAGTGCGTTTGAGCTATAAATACTCTCTTTAAGGGCACTCAACCCTAGAAAACAGATTTTTGAGCGTGAGTGTTGGCTGAGCAGGTTGTTGAACACTGTTCCATAGGCTTATCTTATTCTTCTTGAGGCTTGAAGCCATTTTCTTCACACTTTCTTCTTGTAGACACCTTGAGTGAGTGAGAAACACTATGGTGAGTGTGTTGGGAGCATCATTCTGGGTTTTTACCTCTGTTTGGAGGGTCCTTGGTTGCTGACTTTGGGGGTTGAGAGTGTTGAGCCATTGTGGTGGCATTTTGGAGCTTAAAAAAGCTTCTTTGTGAAGAAAGGACCAACCTTTTGTGTTGCATTTTCGTACACCTTATTTCCAGAACCTGTAGAGGCAGTGTGGTGAGCTCCAAGAGCCATTGATCCTTTGTTTTGAGCTTTGGTGAATTGTACCTACCTTGAGCTTGTGTTTTAATGGGTTAAAGGTGTGATCTTTGCATGTTTAATGAGTTAATCTAGTAACCAACTAGGGTGTGGACCTTAATCAGTATAAAGATGCATGCTTTAACGTAATTAAGTGTTAAAAATGGAACCTTGGAAGGATATCTTCACGAAATGCATTTTCTGCATTCTGTCGTGAAATATCCGGATATGTTCCCGTGAAATATCCGGATATTGGATATCCGGATATGGGTTTTGGGTATCCGGATATTAGATATCCGGATATGGGATTCTGGATATCCGGATATTGCATATCCGGATATGTCCAGTGAGATATCCGGATATTGAATATCCGGATATGGTCTCGAGGAATATTCGGATATTCTGGGATTTCGTAGAACAGTAGCTGCGCTGTGTGTACAGTAGATATGGGATTTCACTAAGTTAATTTTTAGGAAATCTCCAATCAAACCATTAGTATTTACCGCAACAAAAGAAGCTATTGGGGGTTTGTGGACCCTAGATTGATGAAGTTGAACTTCTGTAATTAATGAACTAAGTCAGAATCGTTGTGATTAAGGGCTTATAGCTTGGTATGGAGCCTTAAGACGTAAAACGTAAGGAAAGACGTTGTCTCTAAGTTATATGCTTGTGTTGTATTACTATTGATATAGTATTGGTCCATAACAGATTGTGAATCTGCTGTATTTGGACTTTGAGCTGTGGACTCTTGGCTTTGGGAGTTAGCTTGCAAGGTAAGCTTTCGTGTCCTCGGTTTAGCCATGTTGTGGTTCCACCATGTCCCATGGGGGTGTGGTTATATGCATGCTGTGTTACATGCTTTGAATATTTGAAATGCTGTTGAGCTTTATGTGTAATGACTTTTAATATGCGTGTGTTGTTTCATCTTGACGGTAAGCTTGAGTATGTGGCATCATACGATATGGTAATCCGAGGTGAATGCAAGTAGCGTCTTGCACTAATGTGGGTATTTGGCGTATGTAAATCCTGCATTTATCTGGCCAGTAGAGTAGTATTGACACACATGACATGATTATCTGCTGCATTGCACTGTTTTAGAAATGATATTGATGAACTGCTTTTAAACTTATATTGCACATGTAAGTGAGCTTGGGGTAGAAGATCCTTGAGGACCCCTTGTCTTACTGAGATTTCTTGTTTAGAGATCTCACCCCACGTTTGGGGAATGCTTATTTCAGGTTTTGGTAGTTTGGTGACTGATGCCTCTGGCGGCAGGAGGCCAGAGCTTAGTTGATGATGTTATAATGTATTGCTGCCATGACTGGATATGGATGCTGTTTATGTTTTCCGCTATTTTTGATTATGTCATTGTTGAGACTGATGTTGGGCGCGTTGCCTTATTTGAGTGAGCATAGGGATTGTCCATGACACATTATGTTAGTACCTTAGATTGGAGTTGTATAAACTGTTAGATGGTCCGGTCTACGTTGTTGTAGTTTCGTGACTAGAGCCACACTTTTATTATCTATGTTATGAGGTATTTTCAGTTAGCTGTTTTATTGCAATTACATACAGGCGATGTTTTATTAATTGATTAATAAGCAAGTTGGTAATGATAATGACATCATAATTGCAAAGAAAAAGATATTCCGCATTTTTAATTAAGCGCTGCTTAATACGATAGTATGATAACATTACCGGATATATACGGGGTGTTACAATAGTAACCTCTGTAAATGACTGGAGGAAACCTCTGGTCGATTATCTGGAGAAAGGGATACTGCCAGAGGATCGCCTGGAAGCTAGGAAGCTGGTCCGAGATGCGACACAATATGCAATCGTGAATGACCAGCTATTCAGAAAGGGTTTGCATAACCCCATGCTAAAATGCTTGAACTCGGAAGGAGCAGAGTATGTCCTTGCCGAGATCCACGAAGGAATAAACGGGCATCACATGGGTGGCAAAGCCTTGGCCAGAAAGGCCCTCGGAGCTGGTTATTACTGGCCGATGATGGGGGCAGATTCTAAAGAACATGTCAAGAAATGTGATAGCTGACATAAGCATGGCAAGTTAATCCTTTCA